GTAAAAGTAAATTATTTTAGAATTTTTCTTGAAACATTCTAAAACCTATTTCGGTTTTTAGTTGTTATAAATTTTATCCTATACAATAATTGAAATTGGAACATTAATTGATATTAAGCACATATTTTCTTATTGAAAATAATATAATTTTAAGCTCTATTCGAAACATGAAATTATCAAAAAGGTCTTTAACATTACATTATACTATGCTTTTAGCTTCTTTGATTCTCAATTTTAACCACATGATACTGACAGGCTTAGAACCTATCTCTATATTTATCCAAAAAAATAACCTTCGTGAAAATTTCAATCCTTTGCCGACATGTTTGGCTCAGTTTGTAGTGACCGTAGGGTCTGCTGTGCCAGCGGTCGCGGGTTCGAGTCCCATTGAAGACATTTATTTGTGTGATGAGCACAATTTTTTGTACTCCAGTCATGGGTATATAATATATTTATAATATGTAGGTATTTAAAGTTATATATGTATAGTGTATCAACTATCTGGTGTCTTCAACACATTCCTAGTAGCTTACTATGGGACAATATGGTACTGAGTGTTAAGATCCCAACAAAATTTACTTATATGCTAAATTTACCAAGTAACCTGTTAAAAGAAACCCCTAATAGAAGAACAGTTACTGTCGCATTTATAGTAATAATAGTATATATATAAATATCAAAACAATAATAAAACGTTATTAAGAGTTAGCTAAGACGCATCTAGCAACGGTATCTCTACAACTCTAATAAGTGCGGTGAGCGATACAGCGTACGTCATTACGCCACGAAATGCAACATAGCGTGGAATACTTTGCATCAGTTTTATCGGTTTTTCATGACACCTTCCGATGTACCATCATGATAAGACAGTTCTGTAGAAAATATTTTATTGCATGCAAAATATGATATATACAGTTGAGTCTATATTTCGATTCTCGGACGATGTAAATATTTTTGACTTTAAATAAGACGAAGTTAAGAATTGTGAAACCATTTTTATTAATTATTATTTTAATGATTAAGTTTTGTCAAGGGTGGTCTCATAAAAAAATCACTCCTAACGATGAAATTAGTCTGTGTAACGTTTTAGATGAAAAGTCTTTGTAACCGACTTCCCAAAAACAGGAGAAGGTTCTCAATTCGTCGGAATCTTTTTTTTTCACCGATTTGGAAATTTTTTTTGTTTCAAAGGGTAAACTTTTTAGGTGATCCCATATAAATTTTACCGAAATCGGTCGAGCGGTTTTAAAAAAAATCAATAATAAATATATTTTTTAAATAAATTGTGTAATCGAATATGTTATTAAAAAACTTTCTTCTTACAAATTATCTGCTTATTACGCTACACTAAAAATGAAAAAATAAAAACTTTTAAAAAAAAATATAAACCGACTTCCAGGCACTAAAATGTAAAAAATAACTAAACGGATGTTTTCATTTAGAATAGATACCTAATCAGATATTTTCGAAGTCGGTGCCAGCCGACTATATTTCAAGATATGAATATCTAATAGGTAAATAATAATTATACATACATACATAATATGTAGGTAAATAATAATTATTTACCTACATATGTATTTTACGTATGGAAATATATTAGATTTGCTTTGCAGCGGCTGGCACCGACTTCCAAAATATCTGATTAGGTATCTACGAGTATTCTAAATGAAAACCTTCGTTTAGTTATTATTATTATAGTTCCTGAAAGTCGGTTTATATATTTTTTGAGTTTTTATTTTTACTAATATAAATTAATCTCTTTCCTTCATAGTTGCAGTAAAAAAGTCTTAAAGTAAGGTTATACAAACGGGCAAGTATTATTATATTTTAACTGTTTAAAACAACAATCATATAATTATTATTATTATTATAGCTTTATTTTCCCCATAACAATTTCTAATATTCATCCTTTATAAATTATTTCTTTTTCCATTTCTTTTGTTATGTGGCCCCTTGGTGGGTAAAAGCCTCCCCCATTCTTTTCCATCTTTCCCTGTCTTTGGCCTCATGCATCCAGTTTTTTCCTGCTGTGTTTATTATGTCATCGGCCCATCTTTTCTTCTGTCTTCCCACTTTTCTTTTGCCTTTTGGGCCCTGCCATTTAGTTGTTTGGTAGGTCCATCTCTTATCTTTGTATCTTGACAAGTGTCCTGCCCAGTTCCACTTCTGTTTCAAACTAAAATATAGAGCATCTGTTAATTTAGTTTTCATGCGGATGTCTGCGTTTCTTGTTTTTTGTATTTTTCTTAGTTTCAGTATACTTCGTTCCATTGCATGTTGACAAGATGAAATTTTGTTTTTTACTTTTTTAGTAAAGACCCATGTCTGACTAGCGTAAGTTAAGCTTGGGAGAATGCAAGAATCCATTATTGTCTTTTTTATATTAAGGCTATAGTTCCCTTTTAAAATTTCTCTTTGGGCCCAGTATTTCTTCCAAGTTGTACTTATTCGCCTGTCTATTTCGTTTTCATTGCTATTTGCATCAAAGGACACCAATTTACCTAGGTACACATATTCATTTGTATATTCTATCGGTTTATCCTCTACTTTGATTGTTTTCTTTTGACTGTTTGACATAATTTTTGTTTTGGATGCGTTCATGTGTAGGCCGATTTCTTTGCTTTCAGAGTTTAATCTTTGTAGCATTGCTTCTAAATCTGTCGCGGATTCACTAAAAAGAACAATGTCATCTGCAAACCTTAGGTGTGTTAATTTATTATTAAGTATCCATAGGCCTTTATTTTCCCAATTGATGTTTTTGAAAATGTCCTCAAGTACAGCTATGAATAGCTTTGGAGACAGCGGGTCTCCCTGCCGCACCCCTCTACCAATTCTGAACTCCTCCCCTTGTCTTTCCAATTTTACTCTACTTACACTTTTAGAATAGATGTTTTTTATGATATTTATATATGTTTTGTTTATATCATTCTTTCTTAGAGCAGTCCATATAGATGAATGTACTATGCTATCGAAAGCTTTGGAATAGTCCACAAAAGCTATGTAGAGTGGTTTATTGAATTCTTTAAATTTTTCTATTATTTGTTCTATTGTGTGAATGTGGTCTATTGTTGAGTAGTGCGGCCGGAAGCCCGCTTGTTCTATTGGCTGATTTTTGTCAATATCTGGTGCTATTCTTCTTAGGATGATTGATGAAAAGAGTTTATATATTGTTGATAGTAAGCTGATAGGCCTGTAGTTGCTGATGTCGAGCGGGTTCCCTTTTTTATACAATAGTATTATGTTTGATTTACTCCATTGAGATGGTACTTGCTCTTTTACCAGTACTAAATTGAAGAGTTCTGCTAGGTATGTAGCCAGGATTGGCGCACCGATTTTCAGGGCTTCGTTTGTGATGTTATCTTCGCCTGGGCTTTTCTCGGGCTTTAATCTTTTGATTTGGGTCATTATTTCTCTTTCTGTTATTGGGTCTAATGGTTTTTCTGCTATATCTTCTGTTATATCCCTATTATCTTTTTCATCTTCTTGTGTTATATCATGTGGTGGTTTTTCATAGAGAGAAGTGTAGAAAGCCGTTGCACATTCTATTATACCATTTCTATCTTTGCTTTCCCCTTTGTCACTTTTCAGACTTTGTATCCAATTTTTGTGAGTAGATAGTTCTTTATAGGCTCTTTTTGAGCTACGGAAAGAAAACATATTTTTTTCTATAGTTTCTCTTCTATGATTAGCATAATCTCTTCTGATAGATTTGTTGGTTTGTTTGAACAATTTCTTCAGTTTCTCTCTCATTTCTTTGGTCTTGTTCTTCGTGAACATAAGTTTAGTTCTTTTACAGATTAAATTATGTGTGTGTTTGCTAATGATCTTGTCTTTGTTTTTGTTTTTTGCTTTTTCATCCATTCTAAGACTTTTTGTGATAGCTTCTTCCAGTTTGTCACTAAAGGATTGTACATTCTTATTTTCCTTTAGAAATTCTTGCAATATTGGTAAGTTCTTTTTTAGGTTTTGTACGTAGTTGTTTTTCTCATGTGTGGAATTCAATTTGTTGGGCATGGTTTTGAATGTTCCTCGGCTAATTTTTGGTTGTTGAATTTTTATAGAGCATCTTAAAATCCTGTGATCAGATGGAAAGCTTATTTTGTTCAAAACTTCTACATTTATTACAGATTTTGGGTAAGGGCTCAGAATAAAGTCTATTTCGTTTTTTGTTTTATGATCTGGTGATATCCATGTCCATTTTTTGGAACTTTTCTTCTTGAAATATGTGTTCATTACAGCCAGTTTATTCTCTTGTGCATATTGTATTAGGCGTTCACCTCTGGCATTCCTTATGCCGTAACCATATTTGCCCATTATAAGGTTTTCATGAGGTTTAGGTTGTCCAATTTTAGCGTTGAAGTCTCCGATGATTAACCTGTTTTTATCAGCCATTTCTTGCGCTCTCGTTAAGGCATTGTAGAATTTTGTGATTTCTTCTTCACTTGAACTCTCAGTGGGAGAATATACTTGAATCAGTGATAGTGGACCTTCCTTAAAGTTCAGTTTTAGCAGAGCCACTCTCTCCGATATTCCCAAGAAGCTTAATATGTTGCCCTTTAGAGATTTCTTTATTATGAAGCCTACACCATGAAGTCCTTGTGTCTCTCCTATATAGCAAAATATGTAGTCTTTATGTTCTTCGATGGTATATCCTATCTTTTTAACTTCAGCGAGTCCTATAATATCCCATTTTATTTTATTTATTGCATTATTTAGTTCTAAAGTTCTTTCTTTCGTTGATAGGGATCTCACATTAAGTGTGCATATTTTAAGGCCTTGTTCTTTTCTTGACTTTATACTCTTTCTTTTGTTTTCATAACTAGGGTTGTTTTTATTGTTTATATTTATAATATTATGGTTGTTTTTATTTAATGGAGGGTAGTGGTCGTCTTGCCCCACGGTGACCAGCCGGCTTGGGGTGCTTTTTTTGGAAGTTATTTTTAACAATGTTGTAGTATTTGTCTTGATTTTGTTCCGGGTGCCGGTGGTCGTTGTTAGTTTTTTGAGATTTCAGACAGTGAGGCTGTTCTGCCTCGTCCAACATAGTTAAGAATATTAGGTCCTTTAATTTCTTTTGAGACACTCTTCGAGTTTATTTTCTTTTGGGTTGATGAATTGGGTGAGCCTGAATCTTCTCTTTTTCTTTTATCTCTGGTTTTGTCAGTTGGTTTCTTCACTATAAGTTTGTCATATTTAAGATAAGCGATATTTCCTTTCTTCCTTTCCTCTTCTAGTTGTGGTTGTAGCTGCTTCCGCACAATCATATAATACTTAAACTTAATTCAATTCAATTAATTACTAGCGACTTATCCTCGCTTTGCACGGGTGTACCCCTAGATGCCTTTTTGTATTTATAATGCAGGCAGCGCCTCCTTTTGGCAAATTTTATTACTAACAGAAGCGCATATTTTATTCCTGGTCTATGTATATATTTAATAAAATTCTGAATCGAATCTGTACATTAAATATTTCTTGCAAAATCTTATTGAGATAGTCATTATTATCGATACAGAGGCCGAATCTATAGTTTTTAGAATTTTTGTATGTCTGTCTGTCTGTCTTTCTATCTGTATGTCTTTGACCGCATCACAAGAAAACCACTGGACAGGTTTTGATGAAATTTGGTATGATGATAGCTGGTTATCCGGGTCAATATATAGGATACTTTTTACTGCGGGAAAATATCTCAACTCTGAGAAATCTATACTAAACGTTAAAATCGAACCAAGAACGACCCGAGCGGAGCGAGGGTGAGTCGCTAGTTTATATAATATACTTCATCAAAAACGGCCCAGCAGTTTTATAGTATAAAACACGTATTTACCATAATATTATTTACTGCTTAAATAACTAGCGAATTACTTCAATTACTCATTGGTAACAGACTGACGGATTGTAACTGCTTCTCGTCAACTCTGACACCATCAGGCAAATGTAAATGTTTTGATATCCGTCCAAGAACATTTCCTGGTTATTCATCAGACTCTTATATATTAAGCAGCTACTGTTGACTTTGATATATTATAGTCGAAATTAGTTACACGATATCATCAAGTTATGCAAAAAAATCTATGTCCATGTAACGGCCTACAAGGTTATTAGGTTTCACATAATACTTTCTTAGATTGAAGAGAATATGTAAAATTTTACCTAAATACAATTATTACTTGATTGTTTCACTTTGATTTTTAAGTCTCTTCAGTGACCATTATTGCTACAAAGCATTAGAAACATTGAAAATGAAAGATTGAAATAAAAACGCGAAAAAAATCTTTATCAATCTATGCATTTTGTCGCCAATCGTAAAATGTATTTGTTATAATAAAAAGTAATTATTCTTTCCTAAGTAAATATGATATAATACTAGTGACTCACCGTCGCTTCGCTCGGGTTCGTCCCTAGGTTGCTCCCCCATACAAAATTGCATCCCTATTTTTACCCCCTTAAGGGATGATTTCTGGGATATAAATCCTATATCCTTCCCAGGGACTCAAACTATTATCTTACCAAATATCATCTTAATCGGTTCAGTAGTTTCGAAGCTTATTCGGTATAAACAACCAAACAAACAAAAAAATCTTCCCCCTTTATAATATTATTATAGATAATGATGATTTAATAAATGGGTACTATCTTTTCGGATTTTTTCGCAAATTCGCGGTACAGTTTTATTTAAAATTTCAAATATTCGCGTAAATCTAAGAAAGTATTATAAAATGATTCATTAAAACTTTTGTTTACTTATAAGATGTACTGGTACGGAAATGTCACCTTGGGGAACTGTTCTAACACAATTGCTCTACAAATGCAGTCTGCAACTGCACGTAGAGCACACCTTGTTACGAGCAGGGAGTGGGAGGGCCATCTGCTGTTAATTGTACCTCTGTTCAAACTTAATAAACAGACATAAGTTACTTCCACTTTCTATATGCTACTTTTAAAAATCAGGTTATTACCATAGTCGATTCACTTTTCCCATATTCTGACTTGTAGCCTACAAAACCCGACTCCGAGTGTTGTGACTGTTGAAGTATTCAATCCATTTATATTTTTCGGCATATTATATATATATATATATATTATATATATATAGAATGTATGTTGCACAATATTCACTTATGTAAATCGGTTTTCGTATTTTTATCGTTAATCTTAAGATTGTACCTACCTCAAAGGTAGAGTCGTATATAAATAAATAATAAAAAAGAATATTTTACTTTATAATGTTTTTTGTTTAATATTTAATATAGGACAATCTTATATCATTTAGTATATAAATAAAAACTAAAGCATTAACATTAAAAAACGTCACAATAATTTTATGTTCATCGCATGAACTCTCTACCTCTAACCAGAACAAAGTTAGACCAAAAATCTAAATTTCCAACAAACGGGCGTTCTGCATCAACTTGTCTGAGAGTCGTTAAAATCATTTCCCCTTATTAATTTTTGCCCCCTACGTGCGGAAACACGTTGTTATAGTCAAATTTACGATATTGATAGATGTTCTATCGATTTTTGGGGGAATGCGGCAAACGTGTCACAAATTGTGGCAATTCCCTGTGCTTGTGAAATGTGTAGGAATTTGTGGAAAAAACTCTGATCATTTGCGGTGTGCCGTGTAATGAAAAAGGAAATACGTCAATATAATTTTATAACGTACTAGATAAAAATGTGAATATCTATATGGATGGATTTATAAATACGAACTTTAATATATGTATAAGAGAAACATTTTTTTATGTAAAAAATTTTAATCTTTACATAGAGCCAAAAATATAAAGCTATGCGATCTATATTTAGAACTTTTAGCATTCCTTAATGCCTACAAACATAAGTTTGAAAATAATTTTTAGCAATGACAATATTCTTATATAATACATACGAGTATGTGTATACCTATAATTACAATATATTTTAAAGGGTAAAATCGTGCCAAAGGAGTGCGTTTCGCAATGTTGGTATTTAAAGAGTATAATTAGACCATCACTTTCAAGTCGTAGAATACCTCACGCCTTTGATGTACACATGACTTAAAATCCTCTTGAATAAGTTCTTATCAAGCTTTTGTTCCCAACTCCACTTGAAACACGCAAACAATATTTAAGTGGAGAAAGTGACTCCGCAATCTTTCACTTTTTTACATCAGTCCAAGGACATCATGCTTTTATGTAAACTAAGTTGTCAACTTACTAAGCATACATTCTACAATCTACATAGATTCTTGTCTATGGTTTCACTGGAATTATCGCTTTGGTATAAAAAGCATCTATAGGTTATTTTGAGAGAACATAGCTGTCTATTAGTGTAAAATTTAAAAAACTTAAGTGTTTAAGTAAAAGATTAATATATAAGGACTATTTAAAAATGAAAAAAAGTTGGCCGTCACTGGACGTCCGCTAGATGTGAAACATTTACGTTAATATTAAAACTCATAATTAATACAAACCTATAACGTAATATGGAGTAAAATAAAGAAAAAATAGAGTTTCGTTTATAAAATATTTTTGTAAATTATTTTATTATAATAATAATTACAGAATATATATTCATAAATAGAATAGAAAATATGTAAGTATTTTTAATAGAGACTCTTTTACAATGGAGCGTGTATAGTATACGCGCTCGCGCCTACAAGGGAGTCGAGAGCGGTGGTATAGAACAGGCATAACAGCGTCACGCCACCATTTGCTGTAATACCTCGAGTCGGTTTTACTACCAAGGAGTGCCAACAGATGTATCACATCAAAAAGTATTTTTACATTATTATAGTTAAAATAAATAATAACAGTTGGTTGGAAAAGTTTAATATGATAAAGTAATAAATGTGCTCAGAAAGTTGTATAATATTATATCGTTCTTACATGAAATATGATATTTTAATATCACGATACTTCAACGAGTAATTTCAGCTCCGGATGAAATATTATAGGTAAGGCTAATTTACTGTGTCGACTCAATACCGGGTTTCTTAATACTTTTATTGGGTTTTCGATATTAATAAAATAATATTTTTATGTACAGTTATATATTTAATGCATGTCCACATAAATATTACATTATTAGCTTTACCCTACATGCTTCACTCGCGTAGTTTTTATTTATACCTCCACGCCGTTCCTAAAGGTTATAGTGTAATAGTCTAGAGCCTTCCTCAATAAAATTTCAATGATTAGTGCGTTCAAATTAAATTATCAAACTCAAACTAAAAAAATCTGTTTTACCTTTAATATTATAACAAAAAACTCTAACTTTTGAAATTTATGTAGAGTAAGTTGTACTACTAGCTATTTACCTCACAAGAAACCATACATTAATAATGACCTCCTGACCGATTCCGGCCACGGCGGCCAATCTCACTTAGAGAGACTAGACATGTGCGCAGAAGACATTATACACAAGTATAATCGCACACATACATAAGTGCACTCTCTATTCCTGTCACTCTCATAATAAAGAAAACTGTAAAAACTGTAGAAAATGTAAAAAGAAAACAATTAACATTGACAATCTTCTTCAACAGTCACAAACTATCAAAAACAGAGAAGCCTACACTTATTAAATCTAACGTACGTTTTCCTTTATGAATTTAAAATAAAACGTCATGATGATCATTCATAGTACACATAAATCATACTCCAAGTCGATTTACAGTACCGGTATATTTCTTTCAAGATTTTTACACCCTCTGACACCTCTATACCCCTACTATAATAGTTTTTATTGTTTAAAAAATACAATTGAAACAGTATAATTAGCTGTAGCTACAAATATTTACATAATATAGTAATTAACTGCCTGAATTGTGTAGTGGCTAGCATGTACGGCTGCAGATTCGTAGGTCCTGGGTTCGAAATCTGAGTCGACGTAAGTATAGTTATTGAGGTTTTTGTCACGAAATTCTAAGTAAAACGCCGGAACTGAGAAGGACTCTCACTGATTGTGTCAAAATGAGTGCCGTCGGAATTTGAAAGAAATAAAAAGTGCAATTGTATCTGTGCGCACGCTTATGTACTGTAATATCTTCTACACAGATGGCTCATCTCAGTGAGTTTGGCCGCCGTAGCTAAAATCGGACCGGATAATATTATTATTACATATATAATAGTAGAAACCTTTCCACTATAGTGTCAAAGCGTCAAAAACTTCTTAAGAAATACTACACGCTTATTACCACATCAGTACTGCAATTCAGTGAAGGATTCTTGCCACGATTTTACGCTGACATAATCTACATAATAGTTAAAATGTACAGATATGCTTT